GGGCGAACCAACACCACCAACTGTCCGGCTCGGTGTGTGCGCGTGCGCGTGCGCGTGCGCGACAGGCCCTGCGCGCAGGTGGCCAGGGCGGAGGTCCAAGGCCTGGGGGAATCGCACCTTTGTCGCTGGAGGGCTGGCTCTCGCGAGAACTCCCGGAGGTTACCAGTTACTGTTGCCATGGGAGCGGCCGCACAGCGGCGGGCGGAGGAGACTTTACTGGTACTCTTCGCTGGTGGCTGCGGTGGCTCGTCACCAGAACCCGACCATTTCTCTGGCGGATGCCTTGCCCATCTTTATGAAAAAATCTCCGACTGAGTAAATGTCAAGAAGGTGACCCATAGGTCATCTCACCTTAAGGATGAGAAAACGTGGGCCCTGAGGGGTGTACGTGACGTCACGTACTCAAGATCACGCAGGCAGCGGTAGGTAGATGATCATTCAAAAGAGAGGTGGAGGAGGGAAACCTCTTTAGAGAAGAATACCAGCTAATACATGTAGAAGGAATTATAGAAATAGAAGATCACCACTTGGGAGCCACCAATAATTGATTCAGGCAAAAAAATTGTCAATGGATGCAGGATGGCTGAAGACATTCATGTTTCCAAGTATCACCCGCAGGTTGCTTACTAAAGAGAAAAGGGTACCTTCACATCAAAGAAATCAGACTGGCGTCACGTGCTCCCTGATAGCGTGCACAGAGGACCGACCCAACGATCATTATTCTTGCCAAAAGTGTTTGACTTGTCTCTATTCGTGAGGAAACAAACTCAAATTGAGGGGCATTCTGCAAAACAACTGCCCAGTCTCTTTAAAAATGTAAATTTCATGAAAGATTAAGCAAAAGGCTAGTGAACTGTTCTAGATTAAAGAAGATGGGCGCGGCCGGTGTGGCTCAGTGGCTGAGCATGACCCATGAAGAAGAGGACACCTGATGGATTCCTGGGTGTGTGTGGTGGGGGGAGGGGGGCGGCGGAGGTACATGCCTGGGTTGCCCCGGATCCCCAGGAGGGGGAGCAAGAGGCAGCCATGGGTGTTTCTATCTCTCTATCCCTCTCTCTCTAAAAGCAATAAAAATAAAAGGAGATGAAAAATATGATACTAAAAATAATGTGATTTCAAATTGGACCTTGGGGTGGGGAGCAGCTATTGAGAAACATGACAATTGGGAAAATTTGAATGTAGACTATATTAGAAATGCAATCATGTATTGCATCTTGGTTATGTAGACAGGACATTGTTTTTAGGAGATACATGCTACAGTATTTAGGAGTGGAACAGCATGTATCTGCAACTAACTCAAATGGTCAGGAAAAAAAGGAAAAAGCAAATGTACAAAATGTTAACATTGGTGAATCTAGGTAGAAGATGAGTGTTCATTACATTATTCTTGAAACTTCCCTGTAAGTTTAAAATTTTCAAAATAAGAAGTTGAGGAGAACCCGCACACACAGCCTGTGATGTTCAGTTCACAGACTAGGTCGCTGATTGAATCAATGGCAAATATCACTATTTCCGGCTAATAAGAGAGAAGTAAGGTAAGTGCTCCCAGAGGACTCATAATGCAGAACTTGGACAAATGCCTGCAAAATGAGGCAGAATATGATGAAGGTCATAAGCAAAGCAGGACTCAGTTGGCTAAATAAAATGAGCTTTGGAGTCAAAAGAGGCTGGGCTTGTATCTCAGATCTGCCAACTGTGGTATTAGACAAGCAACCTCTCTATGCCTCAGTTTCTACATCTGTGAAACAGAATAAGATCTACTTCAGAGTATTGTAGTGGATAGTAAATGAAATAATGTATTCATAGCACATAATTACCTGGCATATGGAAATGTTACACAGATGAAAATTAATATGCAATAAGAGTTTAAAAGGTATTCAACCAAAACCCTATTTATTCATATACTAGAGGCCCGGTGCATGAAATATGTGCATGGGGTGGGGGTGAGGGGGTTCCCTCAGCCCGGCCTGCACCCTCTCACAATCCTGGACCGCTGGCTCCTAACTGCTCGCCTGCCTGCCTGCCTGCCTGCCTGATCACCCCTAACCACTCTGCCTGCCTGCCTGATCACCCCTAACTGCTTGCCTGCCTGCCTAATCGCCCCTAACCCCCTTTGCCTCTGCCCCCGCACCCAAGACCCGGGCTTCCTTCCCTCTGGCTGGCCACAGGCACTCAAGACCCTGGGCAGTGCTGCCCAGGCCCTGGCTTTGTCAGGAAGGACATTCAGTATGACGTCCGGAAGACGTCCAGTCTAATTAGCATATTACCCTTTTATTAGTATAGATATGAATATTAGAGCCACGGCTTCAGCCTGTACTTTGGCATGTACCTGGCTTTTGTCAGGTACAACAAACCACTAAAGGCTGTAAGGAACACTTTGCATGGGAATCTGGCGGCATTCCTTCCTTTGGCTTCTGCTATCTAAAGACCGTTCTTCTGAAAGGACCTGGCACCACCCATCCCACGTGGTGCAGAGAGACTTCCTCTCTTCCCCTACACCTGATGCAGGAAGGTGATGAAAGAAACTGTTGAGGAAAAGAGCTACTGCAGAGGGAATCCTTCCTTTGCTTCCTGCCCCTCTGGCCCTGTCAACAAGATCCAGGTTAACACTCAATGTCCATATCAAATCTCTGGCCTTGGCCACTTCAAAACTACAGCCAGTTCTCGTTTCCCTACCTACACTGGGACCTAAACTCTTAGGAAGTGTAGAAAGAACATTCTCAGTCCAAATCTTAATAACATGGCATTCCTCTCCTGTAAAATCCCTAGGATCAGAATTTTGGAGCAGGGAAGGGACTTTAGACTCCTTCATTTGTGAGACACGTGCTAAGTGCTGATGATGTGCAGGCACCCTGCTCAGAGCTGATGTATGAGGAAACACCCCAATATGTCAGTGCCGTGTGGGTCCAGACGCCCGTGAAGGTGGTGTCACCTAGTGAGCAAGCTCCCAGTACAGGTCACCTACTCTAGTCAAGAAAACCTGCTGATCTGCCTATGCTGCCCCTTTGAGAGAAAATCTCCGAAGGTTCGTATACTTTTACCTTCAGAAATGAAAACACAAGTCAGAACAGAAGCCCCACTGTGAAGAGCTGGTGGCTCAGTTACCCTAGGTGTAAGGGAAATTAAGATTCTGAAGCCAGTGGTGTTCGTTCCCTATTTCTTGGAAAGGGCCCTGTTGCTTGTTTTTGAGGATTCCAAAATTTCTGGGGGTGAGGATCTTCTGGTTACTGAGTGGCTGAAGGCATCTCTGAAGAAGAGGAAGCATAAGCCATGTCCCTGTGCTTCAAGAAGGCAGCAGAGCACAGGGACCCTGCAGTGAAGACACCTAATTATGCATAGGGAGGAGGCCGAAGGCTCCTCTGAAAAGTGATGTCAGGATAACCCAGGTGGTCAGGAGGGGAATGGCTTCCAGTGCAGAGGAACAGAGTGATCAAAGACTTCATACATCATAACCCAAATTTCTATGTCTAAGGATGCATCTCAAAGAAATAATTGTAGATTTGTGCAAATATTTTTCTTGAGTAGCTTGAATGATTTAGAGTAGCAAAAATTTTAAAACAACCTACATGGCCAACAGTCAGAGTGTTCGTTAAATAAACTATAATACACCCATATTCTTAGTTTTGGTTACAGCCATGTATTCTGATATATTTGATGATCTGGGGTAAGGCTCAGTGGGGGAAAAAGGGGAGGAAACTATAAGTACAGTGTAATTCCGCCTGTGTGTATATTAATTTTACTTTTAAGAAGAAGCAAGGGAATTATAACTGTAAACACCAGTGTTTACCTCAGACAGAAGGATTGGGCAGAGGTGCACACGAGAGATGTAGGCATTAGTAATGGCTTGTTCAGGAGCTAGTGATAGATTAGTTATAGTGTATATTAAACAAATAAATGTGATATATATGTATATATATATATATATTTGCATATACTAGTAAATAATTGTGAATATGTAACAAAATTTGACAGTTACTACTTCTGCCAGGTCAGAGTATTTGTTATTTTTATTTTCTTCATACTTTTCTGTATTTTTCAGTTTCTAAAGTTTTGAAATATGTGTTTCTTTTATAATTAGGAAAATTAAGCTCACTTTTAAAAATATGTTTTCATTGATTTCAGAGAGGAAGGGAGAGGGAGAAAGAGATAGAAACATCAATGATGAGAGAGAATCATTGATCGGCTGCCTCCCGCATGCCCCTTACTGGGGATCTAGCCTACAACCCAGGCATGTGTCCTGACCGGGAATTGAACCACAGACATCCTGGTTCATAGGTCAGCGCTCAACCACTGAGTCACGCTGGCTGGGCAAGCTCACTTTTATAAGATGGGGAAGTACCAAGATTTATGAGAGGGGGACTTTTGTTCCACGGGGAATTTCCACCAAAACTTGGGAAATGCCTCCAGTCTAGAATCTCCAGGAGT